ACTATGTCTCTTGGCTGGCCTGGGAACGCCTTGGCATTCCCCCGGAGGAGCTGGAGGAAGTGTCTGGAGAGAGAGAAGTCTGGGCATCTTTGCTTAAACTGCTGCCCCCGTGACCCGGTCCCGGATAAGCGGAAGAAAATGGATGGGTGGATGGATGGATGGACATTTTTTTGTTTATAACAAAAATGTGATGAATGATCTTTGTCTACTGGTTGAAATTTCATTTTCTGAGGAAGTCTGAACATGAGCTGACCACTGATGCATCTTGGCCCTAACTGGGTCAAAGGTTTTCTTTCTTAGTTGATAGATCTATATGCCGCAAGACTTTATATTGTCTATTGTTTTATTAGTCATGTGGCACTGTATGTCCAGTTACCCTATATTGTTATCATTTAATCTTACATTAAAGTCAAACATTGCAGGTAATGAAGCCAAGTGTCAACTGTTTTTCCACAGTAAGTGAAAACATCTGCCTCATGCAACACACTTGTTCTGCAGTTTCCATTTGACCTCCAGACACCCCGCCACCAACACCACCGCACACTCTCTCCACACACACGCTCTCGATGTGGGTCAAGTAGAACCTAATAGCTCTTCAATGGCTGCCAAACACATAAATGTCCACTTTTTCACACATCAACACACACGCACTTCACATTCTCCACCTAGTTCTTCTAATGCTGCCACTCAACCAATTAGACACCCCCACTTATTCCTTCTTCCTCCTCTCACTCTATCTCCATCTCCAATAAAGTGTAGCATTCAAATAATGGAGACTGGAATATATACTGTATATGTATATACACACAAGTGGTGGAATTACCTGCATGGTAATGAGTCAAATAGTAGCAATACCAGTACTAATAGTAATGTTTGCATTTCCAAAGCACTAATCCATCACTACAGCAATATTCATGACACACTCACCAATCTGCTTTAAGTTCCACTTTACTTCTTTTACTTTTCTAGAGGTTCTTCTTTTTTCCCATCAGAATTAAGTTACATATTTGCCAGTAAAACTAAAAACCTGCACAGATGTTTCATATTATGCTCTTGCAGATGCTGGAGGTTTTTACTGAGGAGCAGGTGTGCAGAAAGTGGCAGGTTTCATTGGAGGTAACTTAAAAGTGATCATTTGTGAATTAAAACAGTACAAAGTCAGAGCAGCAGAGTGGGGAGTATGATACTTATGCTATACTGAATTTATCAGGACAAAAGTTAAATAGAGAGGGAGTGTAGGAAACGGGGAGGCTTTAAATATATAAACTGCTTTGTACAGCATGTTGTCCAACCATGTAAAAGGCATAAAGTGTTTGTACCTGTTTTTAATGGCCAGTTGGAGTGAAAACTCTGTCATGGAGAGAAGAGACAATGAATTATACAAAGGGGTGTAGCTGTGTCCAGTTTTGAATAAGCTCTTCTTAAAGGCATTTATGGTGCTACATTCATTTGCACATGCAACAGGTGAAAGAAGCAGTTGTATGAGGAATGATCAGTCTGTTGGACACAAAATTGCCGTACATAATTGGCAAAAAAGCAGAGATGCAGTCCTGCAAAATGGACACTATACACTTCTCAACTGTGGCTAGACATTTGCATCCATGAATCATAAACAGAATTGGTGACAAGGGACAAACTCATGGCAGACTCAAACTCCCACTGAGAGTTTTGATTTAGCAGACCATCAAGGTTCCAGACCTCACCTATACTCATGATCTCTGGGTAATGACTGAAAGAATGAGTTTGCAAATACAAGACGCCTAAATAGGTTTCCTATGTAAGGTGGCTGGCCTCACCCTTGTAACATAATAACGAGATGGGGTTAAAGATACTACTGGAGGGAGCTCAGAGTAGTGTTGCTGTGCTGGCCTGGAAATGCTTTGGGATCCCCCAGGAGGAGCTGTGAAACACTGGGGAGATGGTTGTCTCAACTACCTTGCCTAACCTTCTGCCAGTGGAGCCTGACTCTGAATATACTGTACATCAGATGATAGATGAATGAATGGATGGCTCTAGATCTCACAGTGAGACGATGACCTATTTGTAGCTTTGGAGACTAAGGCATGCCTGCAGCCAATCAGAATACCACATGAAATACACAAACTGGTACAAAAATCTTTATGGAATGAGAATGAGACTCCATCAAAAAAAGAAAATCCGCAGAGACACATTTTCAA